CCCTGCACACAGGGGCTCCTGGACATCGGATAAACCACTGCGCTCACACACACTCATACACACACACAATCACACAACACAACACACACTCCTCACCCACACACTCACAATCACACAACACACACTCCTACCACACACAACACACACACAATCACACAACACACACTCCTACCACACACAACACACACACAATCACACAACACACACTCCTCACACACACACACAATCACAGTACTAAACACCCTCTCCCTGTGTACTCAACACCCTGCTACACTACTGAACATCCTCTCCCTCTGTACTCAACACTCCCTCTCTCCCTCTGTACTCAACACTCCCTCTCTCCCTCTGTACTCAACACTCCCTCTCTCCCTCTGTACTCCACCCTCTCCCTCTCTCCCTCTGTACTCCACACTCCCTCTCTCCCTCTGTACTCCACCCTCCCTCTCTCTCCCTTGAAAAGAGGAAGGAGGGTTTGGGGAGAGACACTCCTATCTGTCCAAGGCTCTCTTTCCCAGGATCCTGTGTCTGTGCCCCTCCAGTGACTGTGACCGTGTGTGATCAGTGGAGTTATGTACAGTAGAACACAGTAAAAGCTGGAAACACGAACCCCTGAGTTTCTCTTGACTCGTTTTTATTCTTTTTTCTTCACTCTATACTCGTACGGATACAGTATGCATTCCGATATTTACAGAGCCGAATGCAGGTGTTTCTGACCACAGAGAGGGTTTCGGGAATTGAATCGGACTGTTAATTTAAAACCACTACCACCGACACTCCAGGGAGAAACAGCCCCAGTCCCTCCACCCACTGCAGGTGCTGGTGCTGGCACTGTGAAGCTACACAGAGAGGGTTCTGACGAGCTGGTTCTGACGAAGGACAGCGTCCGTGCCTCTGTCTGCGCGGAGACAGCCACAGACGCTCACAGAGTCTCCCCCTGCAAGAGCCTGTGGACATGGCTGCCCCCATCTGTCCGAGGCTGTCTCGTAGTCGGTCTGTCTGACCGGACAGATGGGCAGTTAATCCGAAAGAACAGACCGAGAGGGAGAGGAGAGAGGAGAGAGAGGAGAAAGAGGGGAGAGAAAGAGGGGGGAGAGAGAGGGAGAGGAAGATGTAGGGAGTGAGAAAGAGTGTGGGGGAGAGAGGGAGAGAGGGGAGAGAGAGGGGGGAGAGAGAGAGGAGAGAGAGGAG